CCTTAGAAGCTTGGATCTGCAATATGGAGCCGCTGCATGGCTTAAAAAGTGTCTGTATGGGTGAAGGTCTGAAGGGACTCGGCGAGTTGCATAGTCAACTCGGCGAGCCACATGAAGATGGCCATGTACTCGACAAGTTGGATGAACAACTCGGCGAGTCCGTTGAAGATTGCCTGGAACTTGGCGAGTCAGTCGAAGACTCGGTGAGTCGGCTAGGGTTTCTCTCAACCTTTGAACACGTATGAACTCGACGAGTTATAGGGGAACTCGACGAGTCGACCTAGGATTTCACGACTTCTCGAGTCCAAGAAGAACTCGACGAGTCGGTGAACTGCACTCGACGAGTTGGGTCAACATGGACTGTTGACTTTAACAGTGGACGTGGACTTTGACCAAGGGTTGACCAGTTGACCTCTGGGGTATTTTGGTAATTTGGAAATTTATGAAAAAGGGTTTTGTGGTAACTTTAGGTGGAGGAGTTCGTGTTGGTGATCGGAGAGTTGAGCTTATCACTTCAGTGCGACACTTGAGAGGTGAGTTATCCTCACTATACTAACGGGTCTAAGGCACCAAGGCCGGCCCACTGGATATGTTATCCTAGCAGTGTTAGATGTTGAGTATGAGTTAGTGTTGCATGCTAGTGGTTATGCCAGTTAGGTAGATCTGTAGGACTACCTGTGATGTTATATGATTATTGCATGCTCAGTAGTTATGTTATATGTCGATATGTTATGTGGGATGGGTTGAGGTGATACTGCTTCATGCGGTAACCAACAAACCTGGGAGCATTCCAGATACGGGCTAAGGGAGACTCGTACTGTGGGCTCGATGGCAACCCAGATGTGAGTTGTGGGCCCGGTAGGCAATCCAGACTCACACTGTGGGCCCATGGGTAATCCAGTATGTAAGTTGTGGACCCATTATATGCTGTTCAGTTTGTTATGTTCTGATGTTTGCTGACATGGTTATGTGGACTGTATGTGTATCGGTATTTTGGGGGTAACTCACTAAACTTTCGGGCTTACAGTTTCAGTTTATTGTTTTAGGTGCATCAGGGGATCGTGGCAAGGCAAAGGCGTGATCGTACAACTCCTCACTTTTTATGACTTTGTTTCTGGGATACTCTGATATGATACTTTTTGAAAACAAGTTTTGTAATGACTAATGGGTTTTGAATTGTTTAAAAAGTTTTAAATTGGCTAGAATTTTACGGGTGTTACACCATAGATAAACCATATGAATCATTTATATAATTTTGTCTACATGTTTTGTTAAACCATAGGGACCAATTCCCACCCCTGTACTTTGTAATATGATATTTTCCACCACTCTATTTATTAAAATGTCATTTTGACCCTCTCCATTTTGAATTTTGTAAAATGTCACTTTCACCATTTTATTTTTCTAAACTTTCGTGTTTATCCACCATAGTATATATAATTTGATTTTCGTTATTAGCTTTCGCTCGTTAACTTGAAAAAATTAAGTTTGTATATGCTTATTTTTATATATATGTCGGGTATAAATATAACGTGGTCAATGTTTCGACGTAAATTTAAAATTTTCGTTCATTAGTTTTTTTTTTTTTTTGTATAAAAAACTTGTTGTTTTTATGTATGTGTTGGTATAAATTCGGGTTTGCTTATGTTTCAATGTAATTTTTTTTAACGTTTTCGTGTTTATTTTTATGTACGTTTTCTACGTGTGATTCGGGTCAAATATAAAAGGTTTTTGAATATTTGAACTTCCATTCATTAATTTAAAAAAATCTTACTTACTTGTTTTATATATGTGTCTGTATAAATTCGAGTTTGTCTACGTTTTGACGTAATTTTTTTAACATTTCGACGTAACTTTTTTCAATACAATCGTCAAAAATTCAACTTACAAAAATCAAGACCTTTAATTATGTTTTTATCGATTGTATTGATAAAAGTTGAACTTTAACGATTGTAATGATAAAAGTCATGTAATGTTGCATTTGTTGGTAGATAAATATATAATGTTGATACTACTAACAAACTCCAATTTATGTCGTAGAATGAAAACGTATTATATGTGGTCAAGCTCATACGTAGAAAACATATATAAAAATAAGCACATAAATTTACACAAAATTTACGTAGAAACATAAAGAAAACTCAAATTTATACTGACACATACATAAAAATAAGTAAATAATATTATTTTTAAGTTAACGAAAGGAAGTTCAAATAATCAAAAACATATTATATGTGACCTGAATCATACGTATGAAGCGTATATAAATATAAGCATAAAAAGATAAAAAAAATTACGTCGAAACGTAGACAAACTAGAATTTATATTGACATGTACATAAAAAAACAAATAACTTTTTTTAAAAAAAAAAATTAACAAACGAAAGTTCTAAATTTATGTTGAAACGTTGATCACCTTAAATTTATACCGACACATAAATAAAAATAAGCACGTAAAAATGAGATTTTTTAAAATTGATGAACGAAAGTTATTAAGGAACATCAAATTATATATATTGCGGGGATAACACGAAAGTTTAAAAAATGGAGGGGTGAAAATGATTTTTTATGAAGTTCAAAGTGGGTGGGGGGGGGGGGGGGAAGTGACATTTAAAAAAATAAAGATGTGAAAAATATCACTTTTACAAAATAGAGGGGTGAAAAGTGGTCCTTATGGTTTAAGAAAAAATATAGACAAAATTACATAAATCATCACTATGGTTTACTTTTAGTGACAAACTCTCTTAATATGAAAATGTCTAATTACCCTCACATGCCGTAAGGCATGTGATAGAGCTTAACGGACCAAAAGTAAGGGTGTGAACAAAAAAGACCATTCACGAAAGTTTTGGAAACCATAGAGACTGTGTTTGTTAAAAAATATTAACAATAACTAAGTTTGTAACATTTGATAAACTATAAGGACTAATTATAAAGGGATAATGAATTAAAAGGGTAATACACTTTTCGATTTTTACTCGTTTGGTTACTGAGTTTTTTTTCGTCCACATTTGTCATTTCAACTTGTTTAACTGTACACATTCAGTCCTTATGACCGGTTACTCCAGGTAAGCCGAAAAAAATGTCTTAATATGGTAATATATTTCTCATTTTGTTACATTTAGTCCTTAATATTTTTTTGCACATTTAGTCAATAATATATTTTTTGTTGCAAATAAGTCTTTGTTATTTTTTTAGACATTTTGTACTTATAACCGGTTTCTTTAAGTTTTATCATAGTATCCTACGTGGGGCAATTATTAACGAGGTGTTCATGGTTGTTGATGCTTATGGCCATTGCGGCCTTAACTAGTTTGGTTGCTTAGGACTTGTGGATTTGCTTAGGTCATCGGTTCTGAACGTCGTAACCTCTTCATATGATCTCATATTTTAACGATCTTTATATCCACATGTTTGTATTTTAGTCTAGTATAAGTTTCGTTTAGATTACTCTCGTTAAAAAGTAATATATTTTTATTTACGATTTTAGAAAAAAAATGTTCATACATACATTTATAAAAAACGAATTTATGTAAAGACCATAAATAAAAATATACTACTTTTTAACGAGAGTAATCTAAAAGAAAGTTGTAGTAGACTCAAATACGAACGTGTGGATATAAAGATCATTAAAATTCGAGATCGTATAAAGAAGTTACGACATTCAAAACACAAGCTCTAACTCAAACACAAGACCTAAGCAACCAAACAGTCGAGGATGCGGTTACTATAATCATCAACAACCCCGAACACATCAATAATGATTGTCCCCACGTAGGATGCCATTAGAAAAATTTAAAGAAATCGTTCATAAGTATTGAATGTGTACAAAAACAACAATGATTTATTTTGCAACAAAAAAATATTAATGACTAAATGTGCAAAAAAAATATTAATGACTCGTACAAAATGAGAAATATATTACTTTATTAATTCATTTTTTTGGTTTGTCTGGAGTAGCCGGTCATAATGATTGAATGAGTACAGTTAAACAACTTGAAGGGGCAGATGTAGACAAAAAAAAATCGATGAACAAATGAATACAAATCGAAAATTATATTATCCTTTTATTTGGTTATCTCAACTATAAAATGTATTACAACAGTAGAAAATTATATTTATATGACCCATCAAAGTAGCCCATGTCGTATTAAGGGAGCCCATGTCGCATTAAGGGAGTCCAAACCAGAGCAGAGGACTAAATGTGGAGGTTTTTCAAAACTCCGAAGTTCTAATATGTACGGGATCTGACAATATCTGACGATCAGCATTGTTTTTTCTCAGGCTAGACATTTTTGTCTTGAAAATAATCAAATAAATTTTGTTGGAGCTAAATATATTTTTAAAAATAAATATAAAAAACGGATAATACGAAAATACGGATCATATCCGATCCAAATCTGCTTATACCGGAGCCAAAATTTTCTACCAAATCCGAGTAAATCCTGACAAGATAATCAGAAAGTCGGCTTTTGTGATAAAAAAAATCCGGATCAGTTTGTTATAGATTAGGTTTTGTTTGTTACTTGACTCATCCGTTTTATTTTTTGTTTAGGTCAGGTGTATATTGTCTTGATAGCTTTTGGAGTAGATGTGAGGCCTCCTTCTTGCAATTGGTAATTTGGTATCCCTATAATTTTCTTTTCTTTCAATTATGTTAATCACTTTTATATGACTATTGGGTTTTATTAAATTCTGGCCGGGTTTTGTTTGGTTTGAATGTGAGATCGATGATTGGTGTGGTTTAATATTATATATTTTCGATTTGTTCAAACCACCAATCTAATGATTTGATTGTTTATGCATTTTTGTTTTAAGATCACATTTACAAATCATTTGGGCTAGCAACATCCGCAAACCCTGTAATGACAATATGTGTCACCAAGAGTCTATATATATAGCAACGACAAGCTAGGCGTTTCTTGAAGGCATTATTGTATCTATCCTGCTATACACGAGCTTATTTTGCATTTGTGCGTAGCAATATCTTCAGAACATCTTCTTAAATATATTCCCGGTGATTGAGCATAAACGGTTGTAGTATTTAGATAGAGAATTGTTGGAAGAATTGGTGGATATGCTTGTTAATTTCCTCAGGTTTTTCTTCATGAAGAAAATGAGCAACACCTTCCAGTATGATTACATCTTCTAAAAGAGGAACATCTTTCTTGAACTCTCCACTTTCTATATAGTCTTTACCGCCAACCGAGTTGTAAGTCAGGTCAAGGTCACCGACGATGAACTTAACAGGTACACTCACTTTGGCTTCGGTCCATGGGCCAGTTAACTCCCAGTTCCTGCATGTAGATCAAAAATATTTTTAATTTCTCAATCCTCCATTTTTACTTGGTTCAAATCATCAAACTTACAAGTCGAGAGCTCGATAGTAGTTTAGACCTCCAGTGAAGCCAGTTTTCTCAAACTTTCCGGTGTAGTATTCAAGATCTTCTTTGGTCATCCATGAAGGCACGATTATAGGATCATCAGGTGAGATTCCTAAACCATTACCCTTGGGTAGAAAAAGAGGGGCAGGTTTGCGATAATTGAAGAAAGCATTTAATACTCTCTCTGTACCATATACCGCAAATTCACCTTCAATTTCTCCAGTTTCCTGGAACATAATGGCGAGTGGTGGTTAATGGTTGTTAGTGCATGGTGGCATGCAGTGATAGTATTTATTTACGATGAGAGAATCATTTAGAGAACCTGAAATCTAACTATATAGTAATCGTTTCCATAAAGATCTCGATATCCATCAATAGGTTTGGTATTTGGATCTCTTGGCTGGAAAGCAACACTCATATTCACCAAGGCCTTGACTTTATCCGGCCGATAAAGGCACAACGCCCAGGCAATGATTGCACCCCAGTCATGTCCGACCACAAACACCTTATCTTCGCCTGGGGCAGCCACGGTGTTGATGAGCGCCACCAGGTCTCCAACCACATGAAGGCTGGTGAACTTGGTGGGGTCGGAGGTAGGAGCACCAGTTGTGTCACCATAGCCACGGAGATCAGGTGCTACAGCATGGTAGCCATGGGAGGCAAGATAGAGAATCTGGTGGCGCCAGGTATACCAGAGCTCCGGGAAGCCATGGATGAAGAGGATGGTTGGGCCTGTGCCAAGCTCTGCTACGTGCATGTTTATTCCATTCACTGCCACCATTTTGTGGCGTATCTTCTCCATTGAGTGGTGTATGTGCATGTGTGTTTGTGGAGAGACTGATGTGAATATATATTATATATATCTATATATATATATATCTATATATATTATATCATATATATATATATATTACAAATTTAAATATGGAGATGTTTTTTGGGATTGTTTCAAGACCATGTGTATCAAAATGTGTATAACCCGTTTGACTCGTATTTTCTTTTAGCTAAATTTTCTGATTTTACATGATCTCTACTAACTAGAGAAAATATAATCTATTTGATTTCGTTATAAGTGAATAAATCAAAATTGTTACATGTGATGTGAATGTCATGTGCTTTGAAACTAAAATGAAATGCATACATGGAGATGCGTTTTGCATGTTTCACAGAAATTGTGAAAGTGATGATCCATATGGATGCATTTGTTAAAAAAGTTGCATGATCTTCTTGAGTGTAAGTGTATTGGGCTCGCAGTGTCGGTGTGAGTTTTAAGGGCGGACAATATGCTACATTCCCATCACTATCATCCCATCTCTTCCACATCATTCTCGCATCAACCCCTACTCAAACAATTTTCACATCTGGTCAACTATTGGTAGATGTCTATTGGAAGATGTACACATCTACCAAAGACAGAGTGTACAAGTATGTAATGTCGTGAGATTAAGCAAGACGGATGATGAAACGGTATGAAACTACAATGCATGATCACTACAAGAAAAATGGTTATTAGCGGCGACATCCACTATTACCGGCAACATGAGTTTAAGTCGTCGGTAATAGTGGTTCGCGCCGATAAATTAGGTATTTGGTAGCGATCCGTATGACTTGTGATCTCGTAACCCTAACCGTTAATTGGTCCTTACATCCAACGACTAGAAACATGTGTCGTTAAGTAGTAGTACCGACGACATTAATAGCAGTGACACCTGTTGCAGCTAATGCTCGAAAAGAAGGACCGTGGAAAAGTTCCCTCCACGGTGTCATCGCTAATAATCAAAACTCCCCGCTATTGCTTTGGCGTCACCAGTAATAGGTGTCGCCGGTAAAAGTCATCGCAGATAAACACCTTTCTAGCTTTCTTTTTTCTCTCTTCTACTTCCATTTTCTCTCGATTTTGTCTTCCCTCTTCTACTTCCGGTGATCTGCGACACCTGTTTTTCACTGGTCCGACTTAGAGTTTCCACTGGTTTCATCCCTATCTATCGGCGACGTATCTTCTCCGGCGACTAAGGTTCAACTTCAACGACTAAGGCGCAATTCCTTCCTAATTTCTCCTTCTCTTTATCTTTTAATGTCGATTTATACCTTATAGTTGAGTTAATTGCAAAAAAAAAAAAAAAAAAAATTGATTTCAGTTTTTTTTTCAGTTGTTGCTGTCACAGGATCGGTTACCACCACCATTGCACCACCTTGTTGATTTTCCGGCCGCCATAACTGATTCTCTGTGTTCTTGTATTTTTTATATGCATGTGTGTATTTGTATGTGTATTTGTCTATAAAAGATTATATGTATATGTATATGTGTGTATAAAATATGTATGTGTATATGTGTATAGAATGTATGGGTATTTTTGTATGTAATGTATTTGTGTATATGTGTATTTGAGCATATAATTAGTGTTATATGTCTATAATGTATGTGTATGTGTATTTTTATGTATAATATACACATGAGAATAAGAAATTATGTTTGTATATGTGCATTTGTATGGAAATAGAAAATTGTGTATGCAATTTGGAATTTATATGCTTATTTGTATGTGTATTTGGTGTATATGTGGTATATGTATGTAAAAGTATGTGAATGTATGTGTATTTGGTGTATATGTGGTATATATATATATATATATATATATATATATATATATATTATATATATATATATATATGTGTGTGTATGTATTTGTGTAACACCCCGATCTTGGTAAGTTTCCCTTTCGCCCCTTGTATTCTATTTTTTGTAGTTTAGCCCTTACAACTAGTACGCGGGGTGTACCACTTGGTACGCTTAGCGTACTAGCTAGGGATTGGATCGGGACTTCGGGTGCGTACGTTGGGCGTATACTGTGGTACGTTGGGCGTACACATGGATTCAGAAAACCCTAAAGTGGGTTGTTGCACCCTATATAATCATCCTTAACTTTTAGGGTTGGCCTCATTTCATGTCCCTCAACCCCCAGAAACCCTAAACATCTCCTTAGCCTCATTACTTGCATCTAGAGCTCTTGAAGTAAAATTTGTGTTGTTTCGGTCCATCTTTGAAGAACCCTAGAAGATAACGAAGTTTATAGCTGTTGGATTAATGTCTAAGTCCATAACTATAATTGGTAAGACTTGACCCGACCCGGCATGGTCCATTTAGGTTGCATGGCATCATGCATTTGGATAGACTATAATGAGAGAAATAACACTTAAGGTTGGTTAATATATTATAAGTTCTAATATATTAATAAGGTTATTTAATTAGTATTGATCAAGAATTAATTTGGAATTAATTAAGTGATCAAAAGGAGACTAATTAAATATATGGGTTGATTGTGTAAATCATTCATTCTTATATATGTGGGCTTGTGATCCAAGATTCCTTATGTTGGACTAAGTCCATGGGGTGACCCATGGATACTCCATGGAGGTTAAAATCCATGGAGCATAAGGAATGGGTAAAGTTATGAGTTACATGGTGTAACCCTAATAGCCACCATATAAAAGAATCCCATGGCTCAAGAAATCGTGCACTAATGTGTGAGTGTGAGGGCTAGACGATTTCAAGGAGTGTTCAAGTTTCTCTCAAGTTATTCCAAGTGTATTTGGTGTTGTGTGAACCATTTGAGGTGTCACACTTGGGGCACTAGGCACTCAAGCTTCATGAAGACATTCTACATCAAAGAGGTATGTATTCTATCTTGTTATATTTATTATTTTGTATGCTAGATTAGGATAATACCTTGGATGTTCATAATTGTATGTATAATAGAGAAAACATAGATCCAAGGTATTTAGGGTTGCATGTACACTTAGGAGTGTTAGAATGCTCATAACCCAAACAGTGGTATCAGAGCCTAGGCTTGTTTTCTTGTTATACTTGCAAAAGTAGCTGAAAAATCGAGTTGGATGCATATATTCGATTGTTTTGGCTGGAATTGGACTAGGAACATTACCCTAAGATGTTTTTGGACTTATAAACTTGTTTTTGATGTGGTAATGTTCATGCTAATCCAATTCTAAGATAATTGTCATAATTTCAAGATTTGTATTAGTTTGTATGTTCATGCTAATTTCTTGAAGATTGATGATTTGAATTATCTTGTTCTTATGAGGTTCTTAGATTAATAGAAAAGTTGTGTGAAATAGTTGTTTTCAATCCATTTTAATCTAAGAGTTGATTCCAAAGTGTGTTTTTGTAACTTGTCCTCAAGTTATATGAAAAGTCACATTTAAGAATCATAAAACTCATAAAAGTTGGCAAAGGTTACAAAATGAAGAGTCTAGTTCTAATTAAATGGTTTATGACTCCATAACTTGTCCTCAAGTTATGGAGGTTCAAGAGTCTCTTCATTAAATTAAAAAAAAAAGTGTAACCTTAATTAGTTCCATAAGTTACAATAAAAAAAAGTTATTTTTTTTATTAATTAGTTTAAAGTCTTCCATAACTTGTCCTCAAGTTATGGAACTTGAAGAGTTTTTTTTTAATTAAAACTACTTTAAACTCATAAGTTATGGAATTAATTAGTTTTGAATAGTTTCAAAACTTGCCCTCAAGTTTTGGAATTTGAAAAGTTTTCACTTATGAATACTTTAATTCCAAGTTAGCCCTTAGAATTTTAAAAGTTAAAATTCAACCCTTATACTTTATAATATTATAAGTTAATAATATTTATATATATGTATAAGAGTAAAGTCAGTCTTACCGTTAGTAGGCCTCATTCACGAAGCCGGTCTATAAGGGGGTATAAGGTTACTGCCTATAAAATGGCAGTTTAATGGGTGTCCACTCTCACCCACCGCTTCCTTGACTGGTGGAGGGTCGTTAGCCGAACGGGTAGGACAAGGACTATAATTCTCCTTTCATTAAAAGTATTAATGATAAATACTAAGTAACTAAACTCTTATTAATACCCAATCTTAGTTACTTAGGAAAATGTGAATTTGGTGCTAACCCATGAAATTACACTTTGCACTTTGCTTAAGTCGTTAGTGGAGCGTGTGTGGTTAACCGGCACACTAACCTGGACTTAACAAGGTAGGCAAAGGGTAACTTAATATTTATCATAGTATCGGTGGAGCGTGTGTGGTTAACCGGCACACTGATTAAGGGGTAAATATTAAGGGTACCAAGTATATTTGCATGGTTATTCACACCTTGTTTGTGATCCTCGGCATCCCAGTCACAAAACCTGAAGGGCACACTCGAGATTGAAACATGCCTTTGAACAGTTCAATGAATCTCAAAGATCTAGGACTTTCAAATCCAATTAAAACCTAATAAATTATTTCGTTTTTCATGGTGGAAATTGGTGAATCGTCATTCACCTACCTTCAAATATTTTATAGCTTGGATTACGGCATCCCTCTTCTAAGTTATAAAATAGTTTGTTGGGTCCTAGCCTTAATATTTCATATTGGGTGTCATATTAAGGACTTTAAATCAACTATCTTGAATATCTCCCAAAAAGATGTCTGGTCTAGACATTTATGATCTTCCCAAATCTCTTGAAACAAGCTTTCCTAAATGAAGATGATGTCCCATGGATATCATACTTCTTTCACCTCCTCCAATTATTCTCCCTAACCCACAAGTTCCTAAAAAGTTTAAGGTCACTCAAGCCCTATTGGCAAGGCAAGGTCTAGGTGTGATCACATCTTGGAGATGTAGTCACATATTGACAAGCCGGGAGAGTTGGGTGTCAAAGTCTTGAGAAAGTTGGTGGCTCAACTACTTTCTAAGTCACATAGTGAGTTCTTTGGGAATCCTATGAAACAGACTAAGACAAGACCCTTAATGATCTTATCTATTTGCTAAGATCAACTTCCTAAAACGCTATGGACAT